GAATACTAAGTGAAAAATGCAAGTCATAGTATAATACAAATAGATCCAATTTTTAAAAACATATGTGTGTGCTGTTTGAGTAAGAATCAAAAGCATGGAAATGTAACATCAAATTGGGAGATCACTAAGAGGGAGACAGGAAACTGTTAATTTTCCCTTAGAAAACAAGAGAATGTTTTATAATTCAAATGGTTGATTTTTTTTTTTAATAATTAGCCTTTAAAATAACATATAAAAAGGGGAAAGAAATGGGGCTTTTCCAAAGATGTATTAAAACTTGTAACTTGTATACGAAGTAACTAATACACGATTTAGTGCATTAATACATAATACTTGTGTATTAATAGTCGTGATACATATTAGGATATATTTGTATTGTTTATTTATGTATTTTATTATATTTATATGTAATATAAATACATACATTATTATTATAATCAGTTATACTATGCACTGCTATAATTAAGACAGCAATGTAAAGATAGAGCAACAGCACAGGATAGAGTCCAGAATAAAAATCCAGACTTACATGGACACCTATTATTTGATGAAGCTGACATTACAAGTAGGATGGGGGAGAGGATGGGGAAATTGCTTACATCGCTTGCCACTGTGGCCAGCTGGGGAGAGTTAAATGGTCCCAAGATGGGGAAATCCAGGGCAGGTGGTAGCCTGGAAGCCCAGCCCTGGAGCCAAAAGTGGTGCAGTCCTAACAAGCTTTCGGGTGACACTGATGCTGCTGATCTGGACCACACTTGGAACACTGCTGGCATGGAAAGACTGCCTTGCAGCAAAACGCATCCCTATAGTTTCTGGTCAACGTGTAAATGCCACAGGAAGAGGTGTTACTGAGGATGGCAAGTGAGCTGTGCTGGGAGGTTTGAGGTTGGGGGTAACGGCCTGGAACTGTCCTCAGTGTTGGCAGCCACTTGGAAACTTTCCGAGCACAGCAACTGCCTCAAGAATGTGTCTGGCAGGACTTAGGCCTGGGCCCGGAACGCACATCTGTGAGGCCCTGATGTTACTATGCAGCCGGGAGATCTGGATTTCTTCTCGACCACCTATAGCATCCAATGCCATCATCTGTGGCACAGCTCACAAAGGACTTTCTTCTCCTGATATAATTGTGGTTTTCAAATTCAGTTATGTTCCTCCTCCTGTGTTAGGTAATAGGTAAAAAAAAAAAAAATTCACAAGGCTGATTCATTTTACTGTGACCTTCATATTTTAGAAAGATTACATCCAAGTCGCAGCTGGCTTCCTGGGCTCTGGCTCTCCAGATTAAATGTCCCTCATTGTTCAGCTTGTGTTACAGCATATCGTTCTATTTTTCATTAGTCATTCTCAACCTTCCAACTTCCTCCACCTTCCAAGACGCTCCTTGCTGACCACAGAGTTCAAATGAATTCCTCCAGGTCCTGCCTTGTGCCCAAGTAACAGGCAGAAGTCCCTCTCAGGTTGGGAAGCCATTTAGCAGAGGCTGCAGCAAGTGCCCCCAATTCACCCAGTTCTTTCCTTACTACTCGGAATGAGTTTCTCTCCCCAAATTTAGGCTCCTCTGTGGTAGTCCCAAATGGCGTCCTCGAGGATATTTTAAAACTCGGACGGAGAGGTTAGTGAGAAGGTAGGAACTGAAGAACGTAAGTCATTCCTTTTAAGTTTCATTATCTCTGGGTCACTTTAGGTATGACAATCAGCCACAATTATCACAATGTGTTATTAAATCTAAAATTGAAATACCCACTCTCGCTAAAACACCACCTCTCATCACCCGAATTAACTTCTTGGAGCTGCATGTGACTACGCTGGAAATTGCCTCTATGCTTGTAAACCACTCCAGCTGCCTCCATTTCCAGAGTCACATTCATGCTCTTCAAAACGTGTCCCACTGTAACATAAACCAGGTGACAAAGAAGTTAGAAGGAGAGGAAATTTGCTGACAGAAAATTAAGACAGATCTAACAGGCCTGAATCTCTCTTTTTTCCTTGAAATTAGATATTGTTTCTATTTGGTTCCCTTCTAGTCTCCTCATAATCCTTCATCCCGTTTTAAGGACATAATTGGTGGAGGAAAACATGGATTTTTTCCGTATGTCAAAGGCCCAGTGATGACTGCTTTTAACGGGTGATTAAACAAGATGTGATGAGGTTCTAGCTGAGACTTGACTCCCAAGGAGTTTGGAGCACTTTCTGCTCCAGAGTGGGCATCCGGTAAACACCTGTGATGTGAGTGGATGCTGCTCCGCCAGGGCGTTTCTGAACCTATTCAGCACATACTCTGCAAGTATTTTATTTCCCCAAAATTCCCTATGGACACATTTGGTGATGGTGACGGTGGACCGGGGGTGGATGGGTAGAGAACTCAACTATTGGGACTGCTCTCCTATCCGGACCACTCCTTGAGGACTTGCTTTTCTGGCTGTGATCAGCTTTCATAAATCGATTCACTCCACCTTTCTTTGCTTTATGATCTCTTATGTGACTGGCCAATAAAATTTTGTAGTTTCTTAATATTTGGCCCCAGGACATAGGCTATAAATCAGTCTACCCCAACCTGCCCTTTTACAGTAAATCTCAGCCCTCGGCTTGCTGAACTGCCCACCCAAGCCTTTTGAAGGTGTCTCTTCTCACTTCTTATGAAAACAAAGGAAGCTGCTGCCGCTCCATATTCCAGAAGGCAACATTCCTGCTCCCCAGGCATTGCTTCCACGAAAACCTTTCACTTCTCCCTGGACTTCTTAAGTCACTACTTTTATTTCTAACCCTTTATTTCTCCACCTTAGCTTTAGGGATTTTCTCTTTCCTTAGCTTTTCTAACATTTTCTTGTTGCTTGTGCAACTGTCATTAGCAAAATGTTATGAATCCCACCCTTCCTGGTCAGTTGATGGTCACTCTCTTGGGACATCACTCCTTATCACCAGGCCACAGTAGGGCTCCTGAAAGTCCCGACTCCCGAAATGAGAGCCTCTTTAACAGTCATCAGTGTCCTTTTATCTCCTTAATATTCTTTCAAAGCCCCCACGTTATCCACAAAGTCTTTGTTGAACATCATCTCTTTCTCTGTTGCCAGGGTGGCTGCTGGTGCAAGTGAGCATGCTCCTAATGCGACCCTGTGTCCCCTCCCTCAGTAGGCATGTGGGATCGTGAGGGCTCTAGGCAGACATCCTAGTTTCATCTGTGGCTGGCTTGGTCCTTGCTAGACTGCTCATATCATCATCTGGGAAGCCATCACCTCACAGCTTCCATGCTTCCACTCTCTGGGCCTTCCTACTTCTGTCCTGTTCCAATGTTCTGTGGTGTAAGCCTTCAAAAAATTCCATAGAAATGCACATCATGCATCCCATTGGATGTTCCACAAGGGTTTTTAGAGAGGCACAAATGGGACTACATTCTAAGATTTTTCTTAAGAAAATTTTTTTCTCAGCCGCTTTTAATATTTGAGTCCTCATGGATGGGAGATGCCTAGCAAGTTAGTGAATTGCAACATGGAGAAGAAATGGCTCTGCAGCTTTCTGTGCTGGCCTCTTCCACGACTAATGTCTCATTGTGTGGCACTTTCCATCACAGGGGCAACATGTGTCCCCTGAAGCGCAAGACCATGACTTCCAGGTACTTGGAGCTGGGGTGACAGGGACGTGAAGAGAGAGCAAAGTGAGGCCTAAAAAGTGACCTATCTCAGATGAAGGCGGAAGGCACCCTTCAGCTCCAATCTCCCCAGCTTTCCCAGAAGCAGGGAGATAGGCAACACGTTACTCATGGGTTTGTCTTCAAAGAACAGCTCAACTCTGGTCTGTTCCCTGAGTGGGAGTCCAGGGGAGATGAGGCTGGAATAACCTGACAGTAGAAAGCAGGACAAGTATGAGAGAAATGCCACATGAGGAAAGTTCAGGAGAGGGAAGTCTCAAAGATAGTCCAACAGCGATCAGGAAAGTCTTCAAGGAGGAGGTTGGTGAGAACAAAAAGATGGAGCTAAGAATTGCTAGAGCATGCTTTTCAAGTGAGTAGGACTGAATCACCTCAGGCATCTGTTTAAAATGCAAGCTCCCAGGCTGTGCCCACAGAGAGGGAATTAGGTCTGCAGAAATCAGAAAGCCTGACCGACCTCAGGACCCCTAGCTGAGAAGGCACTGGGGCTGCGAACGTTAGGGAAACAATGGAAGACAGTTTCAGGTAATTTTGAGTTCCTCCACTTGGTTTAAATTCTCGATTTAGAGCCGGATTTATGAACTAAATACCTACAAGAGTTAGGCTGGTACAGGCAATGAGAGAGGCTGACAGGATTTAAGTGCAGATGTAAAAACTTCTCTTCCTATTCTGTAAGGGATGGCATCCACGCAGCTCCAGCAATTACTGTGGCGCGGGAACATGCACCTAGGGTGCCAGAACTTTCCATTTCAAGAGAATCTCAAAACCTAGGTTTTGTATAAATCATCCGCCTCTGATTATTAAATGATGGATTAAATACCATGAGTACCAAACAATTCCACAAGGGCCACTAGTTGGCAAGATCAGAGGGGCAGAACAAAATCATATTGTATTTGGACCTGAAAGACAAACTAAAATGCTTTCTCTTCTGGTAGACAATGAAAAACAATAAAGGTTTTGGAGCAAACAAGGAATATGAGTTTTAAGAAAATTCCTGTGGCTGTTGGGTACACTTCAGATGGAGTAGAAAAGGGGGAAAAGGGGTCAGGAGATCATAGGAGGTTCTTCCAATTGTGCAAAGGGAACAGAAAAGAAAAGAGAGTACGACAGATGACGGGAAGCAAGAGTTGAAGAGAGATGATTGGCTGTGGAAAGAGGAAGGAGGAAGGAATCATCCAGAGTTCTCTATGTCTAAATATGCACTGCCTTGAATCATCTTTTTTCGTTAATATATACCTATGTTTCAGCTTCATTCATTCTGCAAAAAAGATAATTTAGGTTGCATTCCAATAAGTGCCTGCTTGATAGGGAAATCGAAAGTCATTTCTTTAGGCAAAAAAAAGCACAGACAAAATATTTTATAGTATCTATAATAAATGCAAAGAAATCAATACAAACAAAACGGCTTTAGCAAACTGTACATACATAAATATCTTTTTTTTACTATAACATTCAACTTCTTTTTTCACATAAAGCCTTCCATGTTCTTATTTATTACATCCAGTTTTTCTTTATAACTTTAAAAAAAGTGCCTTTTAGATTTACAGCTTGTGCTTCTAAAGCAAAAGTTAGAACATCATGCCCAAAAGGAAAACAAGGTAAAAAGGAAGCTGCCATATAAGCTCTTAAAAATTGTATGGTACAAGGTTCTAAAATCTCTCCAGCACTGGTTGGTTGGTTGGTTGTCGGACTGTTCAACACTGACATGGCGGCCAGGTAGCATCATCTATTGAGTGGGTGGAGCAGCACCGTGGGAAAGCTGCCCAGTCGGTCTACTCAAGTCCTTGGGGACCCAGAGAATGGGCCACAAGCCCAGAAGTCACGCATCCAGGGAGCACTGGAGGTCCTTCATCTCTAATGCTGAGGATCAGAGTTTCAAATAAAATTTCTTCCAAATCTTTTATTTGCTCGCCTCCTGTTACGGTTTATCATCCACCTCTGAAGCCATGATTTGCACACATGGCAGGAGAACTAAAGCCGCCACACCGAGGGCATTCGCCAAGATTTGGGTCCTCTTTTTGCGAGTTTGGGATCACTTTTGGCCACATCCTCCGCATGTGACCAGCACTGCTGCAGACGGCGACTGTGCTTGGTTCAGAGCGGAGGAGGGCCATTTGTGTATCTGAGCATGGGGTGGAATGATCGGGCAAAATTGTTGGAGAGGGCACAACTGTAGTCTTCCTCTGACATCGGTACAAGGCAGGCGAGCCCGATGAGGAGCAGCAGGAGAAGCTGAAGCGGAAGAGCCGCTCGGAGGACTCTGAGCAGGAAGGCTCGGCCGGACCGAGCTGGCGGAGGCTCAGAAAGGGAGGAATCGGAGCCACCTTTTATGGACCTGAGAGAAGAATTGACATAAATAACTCAAATCTCTCAAATATTGGATGGATGTTGCTTTTTGCTTCCTCACCTTCCTGGAAACTAAAGGACCATGCCAAACACAACCCAACCTGGCAATCCGCAGCCAGGCTTCTGCAGTATGCCCAGGGGATCTCCCCACCACCAAATGAAGGTTGTTTGGAAACTGCATTGATGAAAAACAAACATTTAGTCAGTCAACTCAAGGTAACTAATTGGGTTCAAATCCCACCCCCTAATTGGGTAAAACATTTTCCATCAACAAAGATAATTGCTCAACACACACTCTACCAACATAAATTAAGTAGATCCAGGATAATTAAAATGTGGACGTTTAATGCAGAACATTTTTGGTTTAACAATATCAGGAGCACTGTTAGGCAAAATTAGTTGCTGTCAGAATCACATAAAGTGTACCATCTAGGCATCCTGGATGTGACAAAATCCACGCAACGGGCATCAGAAGAGCTGCAGTCATTTTGCACGGACCCACAAAGTTTAATGAATCTCAGAGTACGCCCTGGTTTCATCTTGCACTGAATCAGCACCTGGCCCTGACATTAGTGGGTTCCAAAGCTGTATGAGCAAGGAAGGCAGCAGAGTCAGTCTGCAGAACACTGGTGTTGAATGACAGAGATTCTAGGCTGATCCTATCTGTCACTAGCTCTGTGACTGGGAAACGGACAGTTTTTCTGAGGGGGATAGGTTGTCATCTTGAAGGCTCCTTCTAGCCTCAAAGTTCCAAGTTTTTCAATCTGCGTTTATTTTCCCATCTACTTTTAAACAGTGGGTTAAAGATTAAGCATGAACTTCAGAATTCACAAGAAAGACTGCCTTCGAAATAGTGAATATGGAAGTAGGTCCTGAGTGGGGTGAACCGTTTCCTCTTTGTGAGCATTCATTATTGTTTTGTTTGGTTACTAGTGGAAAAGATGAACAAAGAAATGTCATTTACAAGAGGCATTTTGTACACATATGAACACACACACACACACACACATAAAACATTGCAGGAGTAAAAAAAAATAGATGTACCAACGAGACACATTCCCCTATATGTAGTATGAAGTCCTTAATGGTTGAAATATCACTAAGGACATTGAACGTGAGGCCATTGGAGAAATACGAAGGTGCGTCAAAACTCTACTTGTTACTCTGTATGTTTTTCAAGAAAACACTATGTTTCCAGCTATCCCATTATCTGCTAATTTCTGAAAACAGATTACACTGGTATCAGTGAGGGATAAGGGGTGGCACCAAAGAAAATAAATGTGAAAATAAAAAACTGACATAATCCCCTTAAAAGGGAACAGAGGGACTACTCAAAACTCTTTCATTAAACCATGAAAAAAATATCTGAGACAGACAGAATAGTCCTGCAGGGGCCCCAAGCAGCCACGCAGCATGCTGTGTTTCTAGTGCAGTTCTTACAGAGCAAGGAAAAAACAAGTCACTGGCCTAAACTGGGATTGTGTTCTTTTCTGAGTGAAGTCTACAACCAACGGCTGTGTAACCTTGAACAACTCTCTTCACCTCTATGTGGCCCCTCTTCTTCAAACCCTTCAAGTTACTCCAGATGGTGTTCCAACTTGAAAGTTCCATGTTTTATACGTTTTACGTCTGCCACTAATTGGACAGTACAAATAGTCTACCAGCTGAGAGGCCACAAGATTCAATCACCATCTAGTGGTCAAACCGATTAACTGCCCCTGTGCTAAGGCCAAAGAGTTATTCCTAATGAGGTGAATCGGAAACGTTGGATATTACACGAAAATATAGCAGAGCACAAAAGAAGTATGTCACATACCTATTAATGGAAGGGGAGAACAGAAACTTCTGGAGTCACCTAATTATAAAATATTCATGTTGAGGTAAGGCCTTAAAGAGTATCTAATCCATCTTCAAACTAAGGAGAGTTAACATTTACTCTTCTAACTGCTGGCAGCACGCTAAGCATTTATCTTGGGTTCTCTCACTTAATTCCCACAGTAGTCCTCAGTGTGCTTTTTATCTTCATTTTATAGATGATAGGAGCTCAGGGAGGTGAAGTAACTGGCTCAAGGTTATACAGCCAGAAAGTGGCAGAATTCAGATTTCAACCTGGGACTTTAACTTCTAGAGCTTGGCCTCTATGGATAGGATCATTCACTGGCCCCAAATCCCACAATTAAAGGAGCAGATCTAGCAAGAAGTCAGGGTTCCCAAGTTCCTGCCTACCACGCTCTCTGCAACGTTTTGTTGTTTGGTGACATGCATGAAGGTCATCCAGGTCATATTATGTCACAGGTATCTCATACGTAGAAGCAAAGAAGGCAATATTTGTATCTTAAAATATTTGGGGGCCGGCTCTGTGGCCGAGTGGTTAAGTTCATGCGTTCTGCTGCGGTGGCCCAGGGTTCGGATCCTGGGCGCGGACATGGCACTGCTCGTCAGGCCACGTTGAGGCAGCGTCCCACATCGCACAACTAGAAGGACCTGCAACTAAGATATACAACTATGTACCAGGGAGTGGGGGGGCGGGGATGGGAAATAAAGCTGGAAAAAAAAAAAAAGAAGATTGGCAACAGTTGTTAGCGCAGGTGCCAATCTTTAAAAAGAAAATAAAAATATTTGGAGGTGAGTAGTTTCCTCATGTCTACAATAAACGTCTCTAATCTAGAGACTCACAGTTTTACATGGATCATCAAGTCAGTGTACGGACGACGACATTTTATTTTGCAGCAGCTGTACAATGTCAGACAAGTAATTTAGTCTCTCTAGCCTTCAGTTTTCTTATTTACAGAGGTGAAGGATGCATTCATATCCTAAAATCATTTTGGCTCTGACAGTTTTTGAATTCAGTGGTTTGCCTTAAAGTGTCTTGAGAAGGACAGAACAGCTAGCCACAAACTCTGGATGGGATTTTTCTTCAAACAACACTCGCCACTTGTCACTGGATGAGTTATAACAGAAGCACAAGAGAGCTCCATGTTTCTCCGTTATTCAATGTTTAAATAAAATGAGGGAGATTTCTAACTGACTCCTTTCTTTAGGAGATATTTAAGGACACCAGTGATGGGCAGATTTATGCACATGATTGATAATACCATCTGACTGATGAGCTAAAGAGCCCCTGTTTGTCAATTATTAGCTTCTTTGAGCAATTAGGCCAAAGATCAAGATCAAAACCAGGGTTGGACACTGACTAGTCCACTCCTGAGAACAAGCAGAAAGGTCACCATCTTTGGAATATGGGCTCATATGTTACAGAGTCTGTTGAAGGACATGGCACATTGCACAGCATCAAGAGCATTCCTTATTAAAATTTAATTAGCATGTTCCTTCTAATGTTGAAGAATGCCAACGTGGGAGGAAGTAATGGGCTGAGTTAGGGACAAAGAGAACATACTGTGCTTAGGGAGCTTCCATGCAGTTGACTGCTCTTGGAAATGTCCAATTTACCTACTGAGAAAAAAGCCCCCCCTTGGGGCAATCAGGAGGGTTTCAACATGCCCAAAGTTGCCTCTTCTTTAGGGTGAATCTGTCCTAGAGCTTCTAGAACCAACAGGTTAATGATACCAGGGTAAAAGGGTGCTTTTAACACTTATCTATTGACCTAAATTCACCTAAGTTCAAGAGTCCTGGGAAATTTGACAAGGAAAAGAACAAAGACAACTTACTGACTTAGTCACTCATCACTTGCCAATGGCCTTATTACCTAAATGGATGCCAGCTGAGATTGTGTTTATAGAGCAAAATTCAATGTGTGAACTTATTCAAGGAACTTAATCAATGGCAGTTTTTCACATAATTCCATCTAGCAAAAATGTCCTAATTCTCTCCAAGTAAATATTTTACTGTTTTCTCACTCCTTGCACTCATTCAAATTTCTGGGTAAACAATTACCCAGTTGTTTCATCTCTGTCCCAAAATACATATAGTTGTGGGAGAAAGAGGATGATAGTGGAGGGAGCAATATGTAACACACCACAAAAAAGAAAGTATGACCAAGAGATGTGAGAAGCCTGAGAGTGTGCACATCAAGTGTGACTCATCTGGAAAATTTTACATAATCAAGGAAATAAGACGAGTTAATTCTGTGCATACATCATTTAAACACAAGTGAAAAGAAACTTCCAATTCCTTTGTTACTTGTTAGCTAACACTGGCAGTAGAGTTACAGGAATTTATTGTGAGGAAGTATCTAGGTTGTCCATGTTCTTGTTGCCTACTCTTGTGTGAATGGTAGACAGAGAGGTTAACAAACTGGGATCCAGAGTCAGGTAGACCTGGGTTCAAATCCTAAATCTTCATGCCTCTAAATCCCCATTGTCCTGGCCTGTAAAACAAGGAATACAGCCATGTCACGGGATGTTGTGAGGGTTAAATGAGGTAATAGATAAGTAAAGCTTAGCATGGTGCTTAAAATACATTAAGAGCTCAATAAATGTCAGCAACTATCATTATTATCTGTATATTAAAGCAAGAATGTGCTGACGCATACCCTAAGGGGTTGGCTGACTTCAGCCTTTTCTCCCAGGGAAACAGTCCGGATTTACTAGTCTTGCTTTCAAAGATGTGATGCATTTCCCAAAGCACCTGACTTGTTCCCTGGAAACAGTGGGAGTGCACACCTCACAATATTAAAAAAGAAACATACTGGCACCTTAACCTATAGCAGCCCTCAACCCGGGTGGCAAGCCTGCCTTGGAGGCAAGACTGCTTTATGCTGAGGCTCTTTAGACACTTTGAATAAACAGATCCCCAGGCTGGAGTCTGACAGAAAAGAACAAAAATTCCACCAGAAACTGAATACTGTTTACAGTGATGCCCCCGTGTACACGCAAAAAACCAACTGGTCTTGCTTAAATATACTTGGCTACCTCGAACACATTTTAAAATGAGGTCTTTTTTCCCTCCCTTTCAGTGTTCCAGCCAGTCACTTGCCACTTCTCATTTTGTCTTAGTTCTCTGTGTAGAAGGTGCCAGAAACCTAAGGTGTGCAGGGAAATTTTTCATTCTACAATTCTAAACCTTGGAATGAAGTCACCAATTCACTCTATCCAGACTACAGAGCAATTATTCCTTTGGCTTGCTGGAAATTGGAGTGAAAACTTCCCATTTGTCAACTTCAACTAATCCACAGTAGAGTTGTGAAGAGTTATTGGCCACTGATCAGTTAGACAATTTTAAGTCAAAAGTAGAAAAAAGGTACCAGCTGGACCATCATAAACATTGCTTCAAAAAGCATACTTCTTAAATACCTTTAATCTCAAATATTATGAACAGTTATTATGAATGCATGCACAGGTGATTCCCAAATGTTTATGATTTTAAGGAGTCTTGGGGAGCCCCTTGTAATTGATTTAGAGAATCTCTAGATTCTGACACATTGCAAAGCTTTTAATGGCAGGAACCACAGTGTATTACTTTTGTAGGCCCAGGGCCTGTACACCTAATTAGTAGGTGTAGAGTAAATATCGGCATCAATTTGTATTTAAGCTTAGAATACTGTGTAAGAGGACATAGAACACTGACCACACAATCAAACTGAAATATACAGCAGACAAGCAACTGATATTATCATCTGACTTTAAACAACAAAAAGAACAGAAGAACCCCTCCCTTCAAATTAATACCCGTTTCTTCCAACTCAGTCTCTTTGCTCTCTCAGGAAGAACACGTGTCTAAAATTTTCCCCTTGCAGAAAACTGGGGTCAACCTTGTAAACTGTTTGTGCTTCTGCAACAACCTTTCAAGTTTGCTGGACCAGTGCAAGATCAAACACAAGGTACTCATCAGCCTCCATGACAAGGAACACCGTGACAGCCTGGATTGTGAGTGAAGTTCATTCTTTCACAGCAGACTCCCCATTTCATGGTCGGGGTTGGGTGCACCCTACACAGAGGTGCCAAGGAGTTAAGAAGTCCAAGAATGTTCAACCACGACCTGTCTGCCAAGGTGTCTGATGGAGTTTGCCATTCAGCTGAAGATCATTTGTATTCCAGGCCCTCTAAGCAGCAAAGAACATTGGGCTGTTTGCTCAGACAGAGGTTAATAAACAGTGCTGGACAGAGCAGAGCTGAAAGGCCCCTTGTGGGTGTCACAGTGAGAATGTGGCTGTTCCAGCCGCAAAGCCCTGTTAGGAGACGTAGGGAAGCACTCGGTGCCCTGAGAAAAGATGCCTTTGACATTTTCAGAAGACCTGTGCAACTTTCTGAAAGAATTGGCAGAGCAGATCAATGTGATATTTGGGAACCAAAGGGCAGTTGCTATTGCTGTTGCCTAATAAGAGGATTTTTCCCTTCGTATCACCATCATTTATGTCAACCAAAGAAGCAATCTCTGGTATCCTAAAAGGAATGCTATGGAGATAGTCCCCATCTTTGACACATCATATTCCCCATCACGGCACATCAGCAATTTGTGGAGAGGTGATGGACTATATAAAACAATGATCTGTCTCCAGTACACGATTGTCTTTTCTTGTGGGGAGCTAAGAAAGCATCAGAGCACCTGTAGAAGTCCATCATTATGTTCAAAAATCCCTGTGAATTTTTCTCCATTAATATCTCATTATCGATAGTTTGCTATGGACAAAAAACCCCCACAAAATTGTCTTCAAGCCAAACCAAAGGGAAAGAAAAAAAAACATATTAAAGGGAGGCTAAAACCAGAAATCACATCAAAATACATTCCGCATACTTCAGCTGAGTGGGAATGACCAAATCAAACAGCCAGTGCCTTCAGCACACAGCTGGAAGACTACAGCTATTACTCAAGGGGTTGTTTACAGTTCTAAGCTCCCTCATGCCCCACCCTCCTTCCAGGAATTTAGATTCCAGCTCAGGGGTGACCAATTTCCAGAAGGGAAACTCCTTTAACAGTGAACTGCTTGGGATTGGAATGATAAACTCAGCTCCGAGGACAGTATTTTCATTTTTACAGAGTTGCCTGGGGAAACACGGACTGATTAGTGGAAGGGCAGGGAGCACAGACGTCACAGCAACAACAGAGAAGGCGAAGCATCGCTAACTGCAGAAACGAGGGATTGTGGGAAGCCAGGCGTCAAGCAGATGGCAGCTGTGAGTGGGCTCTCTGGAGGCTCCCGGGCAGGGGCACTGGCTGATCTTGTTTCTAGAGTGAAGGAGCTGGCCAAGGGTCAGGAAGGTGAGTGACTGAGTGTGCTGGCTGAAGAGAAATTGTTGGATAAGCAGACGAGAGAAGGTGCTTATAAATTTTTAATAATACCAAATTAGGACTTGCCATTTTGAGAATCCAAAACCCACAATCTGGATAAAACACGAAAATAAAATAAAAAGCTGGGGATGTTAGTATATTTTATTCAGATTTGTGGGTTCTGGGAATGGTAAAAAAAAATCCATTGATCTATTACCTGTCTTATTGTAAAATCTAGAAATAAAGAGGATGATAAAAGTCTGCCATGAGTCAAATGCCGGCGGTGCGATCCGTCATATTGAATCCTCATGTGCACACAGAATACCATTTGATGAAAAGTACCAGATGGCCTATGCACAGTTAAACAAAATTTTGGTGGGGTCCAAATATGTTATGCTCTGAGATTTACTTGTACTTTTCACTTAGAAAAGTTTCTTCCAATTTATTAGGAAGGCGTATGTGCTGAAATGAGTCGTTTCTCAACTACCCTGAGGCAGACCCGACAGAGGCCTACCTAAATCATGGACAATTTTCATCATCCTCTTGCAGTTCTAGAACAGTGTGGAAACCAGGAGAATAAGGTACCTGCTATGTGGACTGTTGACAGAGGGTCCAGGCTGTGAGAGACTACATTTGCCTCGTGGCTGTTTGCAATGAACAGGGGTAAAGAAAGAAGAATGTTCAGTCCAGGCAAATAAAGACAAGCTACTGATGAAAATTAAACTAAAAGTGCAGCAAAGGAAAAATAAATCAAATGAAATGGTCAGTACCCATGAATTAAGGAAACTGGCTTTTCTTTCGTGGAAGAAACAAAATAAATTTGCATCTATATTATTAGTCATTGAAGAAACACAAATTGTGGTGGTTCAGGAGTCCATACCACAGTGGGTATGTTGCCCCCACTTTTCATGGCAGAAATACAAATGGCTCTATGCTAACCAATGATCTCTGTCTATTTACTTACAATAAATATGAAGTTCAATATGCCATACCACGCCATTATTTTTTCATCTTCTAGAACACTGAAACAGTACTAAAATTCTTGGTAGGTAAAAAACAACAATTGTAATAGGAAATTGTTCTTTGTAAAGTGATAAAGACCCAACAAGTTAAATACTGGAGTTAAATGAAAGCTAAAATTTGACTCAAAAAGCCAGTATTCCTTCACATTCTTAAACTAGGATCTATAGGAAACTAGCGAATGTAGTAAAAACAATCCTAAAAAAGGTCATAACATTTATCAGCATAGAACTTAAGTGTTTATAACAAAAAAAGTAACAAATGAAACCAATACTTCTAACAACTAAGGAAAATGGAATGATAATAAAAATGACCATAATCATAAAGCCAGACAAAAAAAAATAACAAAAAAAAAGCTTCTAATTACACAGAGAAATCAAGGTATAGAGGGTAGCAGAGGCCAAGTTTGTCTTTTCCTCCTCATTGCAGGCCAGCGAGGCAGCCCCGACTGGCCGGGTGGGTGAGTCGGCGTGGGTTATTGCCACTTTAGGGGTGGCACTGTCATTGAAAACCTCCAGGACTATTTTGAAGCTTCGCTTAAGAGTCAACAGAACCTCTGCTTGTCTTATAAATTCAATGGCCTCAGGAGATGCTCAGAGTTTTGTCCACCTCTTAAGTGAAGCCTACTTTGTGCTTCTTTTAGGTGGACCATGGTGGTGGTGGTTTGAAAGGAGGAGCCACCAAAGGGACAGGGAGCACCATTCTAGAGATGGCCCTTGGAGCAAGAAAAGTAGGTGTTCTCCCTGCACACCAACCACACGTTGAGCCCTGATTCCTCTGAAACACAGAACTGCTCTTTTTGGTTCCCGAGTGTGTGTGGGGAGGGCACGCAGCAGGGCTGTGGAAACAGCGCTTTACTGTGTCACCGTGTGACAACCCCCTCCTGTTTAGGGACTCCTGCTTTCTTGTGGGGAGAGCCTGCGGACCCTGCAGTAGGCACAAATACTGTCCTTCCCCAGTGGGCCTCCCATGGGCTAACTGAAAATGACCAGTGGAGAGTTACCGTTCTCTGCCTGTTTGGGGTGCTTCTTCCTGATGTAGGACTCACAGACCCCGAGGTGTCCAATTCATCAGCAGAAGACCAGGAAGACAAATCCTATTGGGAAACAGGTGCTTTTGACGACTCCATGTCACAGAGCCATGATGGCTTTGTAATACACAATGTATTTCCCACCCCATCCCTATCCGTTCCCCAAAAATCAAACCATTCCTTCGGAAAAATGGAATCAGACATCTACAAAAACAGGACCTAACTCTTCTGGTGTATTGGGCTTTCTTGGTTGGAAGTTTGTCCCTTTTGGAAAATACAGCTATAGCTTTGTTATTACTGTGCCACTTATAGTTTTATTATTTCTTAGTGACACGGATGTGAAGAAGCTGACTGGGGGAGGTGAAGGAATTTGCCCTACAGGCAGGCCACTCAGCCCAGAGAGAAACTGATTCATTTGAGTGAGAAACAAAAGATAGTCATCCAGCAGCCTTTTAGCATCCAAGAAGTTGTATTGTTACACAGTTAACTGCTGTTATTCAGAGCACATTGGTTTTTCCCATGTTGTAGGAGGGCAAAGTGTTTGTGTGTCCATAACAGGATTTCACAATTGAATATTTGAAGTCTTACCGACCACCCTTAACCGCAAATGCATTTTTCAAAACCAACAATATGACCTTGATGCAGCAGATTTAAGGAAAAAAATTTTAAAAATAAATGAGCAGAGGACATTTTCTATGAATGAACTGCTGTCTGTGTCAGAAGAATTCATGCCTTCTAGGGTTTGAATACACAACTCACAGGCAACAATTGCTTGTGATCTACCATAGCTGTTACTGAAAACATGTGACTTCTTAAATAAATAGGGTAACATAAAATGCCACAACAGTGTGGTAACAGGGCGTGCAGAACAATTGCAAGAGGCCTTTTGGATGGAACAGAATCAAAAACAGGGTCCTATTATCCAAGTTTATGAGTTGCTTTTTTATTTTGAGACAGGATTTGTAAGAGAGGGGTTGAGAGTTGACAATATTCTGACAAGGACTACATTCAAAGTCTTTCTAAGATGGCTAAGATGATGCTTCTTTGGTGTCCTGTAAGAAATGCTCCACAAGGATGTCTGTTCTGAGCTTACCTGCTGACTGCTGGACATGTCTAACAACTTCTCCAGCTCCTTGATGTGACGACTGACCTCCTTCAAGAGAAGTTTGAGCCGATTTCCAATCACATGGACTTTTTCTTTGGCTTCTAAACAGTCTGTGCCTTCCGCATTCACCAACAGTTGGCAAGACATGTCTTGCAGTGAGGCCACTTTGAGCTGCGATTCCAAGAGCTCACGCCTTATTTGCTATGTATACGATAAGAAATAGTTTTCTAAGAATTTTCGATAAGTGGAGTGAGTTCCGATAGTGCAGAATGACATCACTTTAACTTACTGGGCAATTATATCTGAGCACCAGAAGGCCGTGAGCACACAAGGAAGGAGGAAGCAGCCCATGGCGTTCAGGAATCAGGGACCTGTGTTCTAATCCTGCCTCTGCCAAAAATATTCCATAACACCCCTGAACCATTCTCATCTGTTTTCTCATTTGGTAAAATGATGAGATTAATTCCAGCTTTGTTCACAGTGAGTATCACTGGAAGGTTCAAATTGGTGAGTGCGTGTGAAAGAATTTAAAATATAAAGTACTATGCAAATGAGATATAAGATATTCTTTTAAACAGAAAAGTAACACATGAATTTATAAACAGCAAAACTCAAGTATGTCTAGGCATATGCTATCTGTTCAAGATTTTTAAAAAGATATATGTGAGAATCATCATTCATAACTTATTGTCTGAGGTAAAAAATCTGGTAAAAGTGCAGCTGCGAGGCTATTCCCTGGGTTTTTAAGACCTTTATGGTACTGAATTAAAAGCTACCAATTCTGTTGGATTAGGTTAGTGAGTGTTAAATGTTAAGAAATAACATTTTAAAAATGCAGAAAGCTACAAAATTCAAATCATTTTCTCCTAATGGAATTCAAATATGCTTCTTTATCTTCTATAAAATCACTTAAGCACACTGTATATTATATTGTCCACAGTGCTTTGTATAAGATTTTACACAGCAAATTGTGCAAATCACCTTTTGAATTTAGTGCTAGAAAAAGTTTCTTGCTCCTTGAGAACTGGTATGCTTTATTTTTGTCAGATAATGAAAATAATTTAACACATCATGTTTCCCTTTCTGTCTCAGCTTTCAGAAAACTTCAGGCTAAGGTTAATTTGGAATCTGGTACTTAATTCCTCTTAAGAAGCCTTAAAGGTCTCTTCCTATTTTAATAGTTTTCCTATTTTTTAAAAGGTATGCTTTTTGGTGAGGAAGATTGGCCCTGAGATAACATCTGCTGTCAATCTTCCTCTTTTCTTTTTTCCCCCCAAAGCCCCAGTACATAGTTGTATATCCTAGTTGTAAGTCATTCTGGTTCTTCTATGTGGGATGCCGCCACAGCACGGCTGGATGAGCGGTGTGTAGGTCAATCCCCAGGATCTGAATCAGCGAACCCTGGGCCACTGAACCAGAGCGTGTCAACTTAACCACCTGGCCACAGGCCTGGCCCCTATTTTAATAGTTTTAATGTCTTTTTATTATAACCCACCTGATATACTTTGGGGACACAGATGTAACAAATACAGTTTCAATTAAAAATAAGTGTAATTCACTAAAGAGTTGCCTGAATAGAAACAAGCTAATTAAGATTAAGAGCATCTAAGATTTCTGCAACTGAGCAATGACTTTAGAACCAGATTCTGAAACTAACAGGTGACATCGTCTATGCTCATGTTTGCTTTACAAAAAGATTGGAAATCATGAGGAGTAAAGAAAGACTAAGTCAGAGACTACAACTCAAAAGGCAAAAAAAATACTACCACCTCCATCCATCTTCTGTAAATGAAATGGATCACTGCTAAAAATAACCAGAGGCTGCAGAGTTCACATGTCTTACCGTAAGCTGTTTGTGATGGTCCTGAAGTATCTCTGCGTCTAGGTTAGAATCAATAGGAACAATTTCATTTTTCCTTCTGTCGATGTTCTCCAGCATAAGAAGCAAACCATGACTCATTTCATGGAAATCCTATAGAAAAAAAATGGGAAGCACAAACTAATGTTTAATATATTTTCTTTCCCTCATAGCTTCCATTTCCATTCTTTACAATTGCTACCACTGGCAAAGATACATGGATTTTAAGGTCTTGTACACAACTCCTTTCTGAGGAAGGCACTGGCATAGTTGTAATGATCTGAATTCACATTCTCACCAAAAGCATCTAATTTATTACTTGGGGGAAATTTTAGACATAAGGAAAATTGGCATCAAAATACTTAATTTATAGGGATATTATACAAATTAGAAGGAAGCAACTCTGCTCTCCTCCCTTCTCCCTGTATTCAATTCTTCCCAACTTTTATTTTTTTAATTTTTTGGTGAGGAAGATTGGCCCTGAGCTAACATCTGTGCCAATCTTTCTCTATTTTGCATGTGGGATGCCACCACAGCATGGCTTGATGAGGGGTGTGTAGGTCTGCACCTGGGATCCAAACCCACGAACCCTGGGCCGCCGAAGCGGAGCGTGCAAACTTAACCACTATGCCACTGGGTCGGCCCCTCTTCCCATCTTTTAAAGCCTAAGTCCAATCCCTTATCCCCTTCATTCATCCATTTGTTCATTCATTCAACACAGAGTTATTGAAGATCTCTTATGCATAACGCACCGTACAAGGAGTGGGTGTAGGATGAAACAACAGCTTAGGTACCTGCTTTCAGGAGCTATTACTCTTGGAGCACATATACACCTGGACAGTGAGTTTCACATCCTGCAAGGGCTTCCCATCCTGCTTAGAATACAACCCCAACTTCCGGCCAGAATCTACAAGGCCCTGCACGACCTGGTTCCTGACCACCTCCTCCATCTTTCTTATTACCCATCACCTTGCTAACTACACTCTAATCACACTGGCCTCTTTTCTGTCTCTAAAGACACTAAGCCCTTTCCTGCTTCTGGGACTTCCCATTTGGTCTATCTTCTTCATGGCAACGGCCTTCCAGCATCAGCTCGAAGATCTATAGAATTCCCTGACCACCCTCCCAAAGTGACTTTTCTCAGTTACTCTTATCATCAACATCTGGAAGTATCTTGGTTAACCATTTACTTGCATTTTATTGTCTGTCTTCCCCAACACAAGTAGAGGCTATGCTATATCCTGACTGCTAACGGATAGTGGACACTCGGCAAATAACAATGCTAGGAATAGATGGGTAAATACTCGTAATGCTCAATCTGATGTTCAAGAAATGTCTTCCCAGGTGCTTAGTAAATATCTGTTGAATGAATGAATGAAATAAATGAGTGAGTTAAAAAGAAATAGTGGGGCTGAGGTAAACTTATAGAAACAGCCTCTTGTTAGAGAGAGGGGTCTAGCTGCTTTGAACTCCTGGTCACATGTTCCAACCCTCCAGTAAAATGAAAAGTTTGGGCACAAAGTTATCTCACTCAAATACTGACTTTGAGAAGCAACTGCATCCCTCTTGTGACCATGATAAATCCAGTCACAGACTCAGCCACACTAGAAACGTCTGACTCTGGAGCACAGCGTGCTCAAAGCCCCACAAACCTGACACTGCATCAGAGCGTCCTGCAGCAGGCCCCGCCACTCCTCTAGCAGCGAGCATACACGGTCCCAGCGCCCGTTCATCTGGGACAAGCGATCCTGCAGGTCCCGGCTCTCCTCGCTGCCAGTCTGGGTGAACTCGGAGCTGCACAGATTGATGGAGAGGATGATGGCTTTGCGTTGGTCCACAGCTTTCTGGAGCTCCTGAAAAGAGAAAGGAAAGCACCAAAACAAGGAAAATAATAACATTAAAAAAAGTCTAAACCTTTGGAAATCCTTCACTCAAATTAAAAGATCCGTTCGTTAAAATGGCCTTAACAGGATGGCTAGGTAAGATATAGTGGGTGCATACCACTGAGAACTACACTACAGCTAAAAGAAACAGATCAGACATATACTTGATAACTTGGATGGATCTTAAGAAACTGTAGTATACTTGGAAAGAGTCAAACAGAATGATACGTGTAACAAAATAGCACTTATACAATTTAAAATACACGTGCACACACACAAATCCAAATTTTTCATGAATACATATGAACAAAGCATACTCATTAAATATTTCAGAATGGTTGCTGTGGGTTTGAGAAATGGAGATTAAAAATCAGTGGAGGGGGAAAGGATGAATAAACAAAATGAAGAGGAACTTTGCAGGAAGCATTGAGGACCCTGTGCAATGAACTAGGGAGTGGATTAACTCAACATCTGGAGTGGGAGTTCAACAAAACAAAACAAAACCTGGCTCCAAGCAGCAGGAAGTTGTGCTTTTAGGTCTAATGTAAGAACCCCACTTCACAAGACCGATGGTACTCCACTTGTGTGCATAAGAATGAAGCCACGAGCCTGGTAAGAAAGCAAATTCCCAGGCTGGGGCCTCCAGCTCTTTCCACTGTAAACACAGTGGTTGGCGTCTCAAGGGCTGAGAACACTGCCTGTGTCACAAGCCACATTCTTGTGACAGTACAGAGACTAAATTTGGGCATTTCATCACCTAACCAATTTAGCTGGATTTCACAAAAAACCAGGCGACTGATGTATTACTTTGTGCATTTCCCAAAAATCTAGAACTAAATTCCAAGAACTTGAGCACCTGCTTATGTCTTAATAATTGAATATCTGGGTACTGCTTAAACATCCCCAGATCAAGTACGGGTGAGGGATCCTGTAAATCACATCCACTCAGGCTATATTTTCTTATAAATTCTCACATTTATGTTTTGTTTCCAATTTGTTTTAATTTTTCACTTTTCAATAGTTCTTCATGTTGTAATATGGATTCAACCACAGAGACAGCATAAGATCAACAGATATTTTGGAAAGATACTTGGTTATTCAACAGATTTATCCTCAGAAAACACAGATAGGAGGGATCCAGGAGGGGTACAGTGAAGGGTGACTTTTTCTTATGACACAGGCTGACTTTCAAGGTCTCATTTCTCCACCCTCATCTCTCTGCGGTCTTGGACTATAGCCAGCATTTGCTTCATCAACTTTTTCAGGAGTTTAGTTATAGTGCAATACTGCCTTACATTTTCCCAGAGAGAAGCTAAAGTAATTCAGGTACTCAAGAGAAAAATGCATTTTATACTCTGGATAATGTAAATTGCATCTCCCATTTGATGCTTCATCCCGAAATTGATGGGGCTGCTGCAGAGGCTTCTCTTTAAGAAGCTTGAGCATCTGTGGGAATACTCATTTCTCTGCTTGAATGTTTAAAATAAACAACACACAAAAACATCACCCCAAAAGAAACAGCATACACTGAGAGCAGAGAGGCACAAAAGCAATGCACTCAATCCTTGAGCCTCGAGAGCCTGCGTAGCTACATTCTGAGGAAGAGCACATCTTGATGTTTTCCAAACAAAGAGATAGGACCAAAAGAGCTATTAAAAAGAAACTGAGCTCACAATCCACAGCGTGTTTACAAAAGTCTCCACATATTAATGCATCTCAATAGCTGGGCTCAGGATGACTTTGAAGATCTAGAAATGGAGTTAAAAGAAGCTATCTTGTGTACTACACCCATCCAGGCCAAAATCCAACACAAACGTCAGGTGTTTCACCACAATCACTCCACTGCTTTGTTTTGTTTTATTCATTACACTGAAGATTGCGTCTGCCTCCACTATAATCAATTTTGGAGGTTCTGCTGATTCCCGAATGTCAAGTGATTTCAACAGGTCCCCCACGAACTCACACAGGTGCAGCCTCGGAGAGGACTCCCCTCCAGCTATCGATACAAACATGCAGGAACCTGTTCATATCTGTATTTCTCATAAAAGAGGTTAAAGAGGTCCCAGAGGTGCCTGGACATTTCGTGAAATTTTAATCGGTCATTTCTTAAATGCCAATTCATTAAATCATACATGATTATTCACGTGGGAGATGGTTCCACAACATCGTTCATCTTTCTGCCCTTCCTAACCTTCTCTAGACGCTCTGATTTGGGATGCTGGGGAAGAGGAGAGCATCTGTGCTCATTTCTATTGACCACTCCCCTGCTGCTGCGTCACAGAATGGCTAGAGCTAGTGGTCTCATCTGACCTGGCATTCCACACGGCAGCTTTTTGTCTGGCCGCTGGGGGAAAGGCCAAGGGCAGCTACCTTGAGCTTTTTTATTTGGAGCTCAATGGACTGAATGTCGGTGCTGAGCCCCAGGCGCTGTAGCTGTTCCAGTTCCTCCTCCATCTCCCCCAGCCAGGTCCAGATGTTGCTCAGGTCAGAGTTGAACTGTTGCCACTTCTGGAGGTTCTGCTTCATCCTCAGCTCCTTGCTCAGGGCCTGTGCCTGCAGGAGCTCCCATCGGTCAATCACGCCTGACAAGACACGAGATGCACAGAATCTTGCACATATGACGTTTAGGAAATGTTTTAAACACACATTGGTGGCTAACTTTAAATAGCAACAGAAAGAAAAGTAATTCCACTGAGCATTTCTGTAGTTGGCAGCTGTAAATAACACTACAATGGCTGTGTTTTCCCATTTGCCTTGTTAATGATAATGGAGAAAAAGAAAAGCTACATAGGGCTTAACACTGTAAAGAGCTTTATGAAGTAATAAACAGTAATGTGCATGAAGGAGTAACGTGCATGACAGCAAAATTCTCTCATTCAGCTTTTGTTTCCTTTCTGTGATGTCAAAATGCCCATGATGTTAGAGCCAATGTGTTAAAATAAATGCAACATGGAAAAAACTGCTCTGCTGCTTTTCATCTCCCTCTTCTGTCACAGGAGATCACTGTCACGTGGAGAAAAGTTCTCAGGATGGAATGGTGCAGAATGAGGTAAGCAGCCTCGTGACACTGGGGTGCCACAGAGTACTTCTGGATCTTCTCTCTCACCCTTTCTTGAGTGGGGCACCGCTCACTCACCAGCTGTTTGGGTTTCCGTATTATTCAGGTTGACAAAGCCAGGAAAATTCTCTTCTTCCTCCCTCAGTTTGCGTTCCAGTCTCCTCACTGAGTCTATGCTGCCGCTGCATTCGCCCAGCAGTTTCATCTGTTCGGACACAGAAAACAGGCCCCCGTCACAAAATTCTGAAATTCTCAGGAGTGCAACAGCTTCTGGGGAAAATATCTGATAGTCCCTCAAAAGGACAGTGACCACGATTTACTTCTCTGTGAAGACTATGCCACTCTGCTAAAAAGAAGTTCAAAAACATGCTTCTGAAACACGTGACACATTCATATAAATGTAAACCAATGCCTTGAAGATACACTTTGCATACGTGGTTTTGCATCAGACGTCCTCAAAATTTCTTTTAAATTTATGAATCAAAACAGACTACACCCATATGGGATTTAAAAACTCAGAGCACTCAGCGGGCAATACAATATATAACTTTTGGCAAGTTGTTCCAGCTTTCTTAAATTGAAATGTGGGAATAAAAATATTACCACAAAGCTCAAAGGAACACTTTTTTGTATTAAAGAATTAATATACTTAAAAGCATAAAGCAATATTATAGCCAGCGACTTCATGAGAAAATTTAAGCAATGTTTAATAGATATCGAGGGAATAAACTCTAACACGAAAGGAAAACCTTCTAATTTCATGTTTAATATCATGCACAGTATTCAAAGATTAAAAGAGCAAATCATTTCAGGGCACTCTTGCTATATTGACCATAAAGGCTTTCACAAATCACATTGCTATTGAGTTAACTTTGATTACCTTTGATTGAGGTTGAGTTTAATCTCAGTGACATCAACATGGTCACCATGAAACTATCTTTATTTTAAAAAAAAGAGATTTCACTGTAAGTCAGTATAATAGGCCACACTGGATAAGGAATAACTCTTGATCGATTACTCTTCCATAATTGCGAGGATATTAACATCCACATATATAACTAGAATGGTTCTCCTCCCTGGTTTCAAAAAGGAGTATGTGTGAGTTGTTATTGGACGTAGAGACATTAGTTTTTCTTTCCTTCATCTAGGCAGTCTTTCGGGTGTGAAAAGAAGGTAAGAGGCATCGAAGAGATGTACTTTCAAATTTCCTTGCTTAAGTATGTGTAGGAACACAGGTAGTTCTCTGGGAAAAACTGTTAGGTCAATGATTTGAGCAGAGCAAATAAAGTTATTATATACTTTACTAAGAGCTTCAAAAAGAGAACTGGTAATATACAGGATCTCTTGCCAGCTTTTCCCTAAATCCCTCTTGCTAGTCAGAATTGTTGATTTCAGAATGAGCATACTAAGAGCAGAGGATAAAAACATTCCCAAGGCCATTAAGTGAATCAATAAACACAGGAAAAGAACCAAAAAAAATTCATGTTAGTAGTCTGTTAGCTAAAATCGGCTGTTCCAAGGATAACCTTGGTGCAAAAGTTATGAGCTGAATTTGGAAAAATGCCTAATCATTATCGGGAGCCAAAGCATTTTGTTACTTTCAATTAAACAGACCTCACTGAGTTCTCCATGTAAAGGAACAGGGTGGTCATTACAGTAGGTTAGCGGGCCCGAGCACAGACCAGTTCTAGAAAAAAGGTAACTTGCTAACAGGACTTTCTTTTGCACATCCACGCCCTTGAGGTCAAGGGCTGCACGGTGTCTGGAGAGCTCTCAAAGGCCTCATGGCACAAACGGACCGTTCTTTGTCACACAACTGTGACTTCCAGGTACATGCCAGGGGCACAAGGGACAGGAGACTTACGTAGCCCTTGTAGCTTGAGTCCAGCTCCGGTCCCGTGGGAGTTTTGCTGCGGATGATATTTTCGGTTTGCTGCATCTGAAAGCGGCTGTCATCCAGGGCTTTGTCCAGTTGTCGGATCTGTGACTCTAAGGCGCTGGGATCCGCTGTGGGGGCAACCATAAGAATCTTTACACGCTTTACGAGCTTGACATCCGAGGAGGAGTTGAAGACATTATTTCAGTTAAGGCTGTATAGAAATGGCATGTGTGTGCGTAATTATAAAGCAAATTTCGTGCTAATGTGCCGGTGGGTTAGAAGTTCAAATGAGTAGATCAATGGGTGTGCTTGACTAAGACTCTTAGCAGACTGCATATCGCAAAAGGCACCTGCAGTGGGCTCTAACAGCCTGTGTGTCTCTCGCTCTTCCAGCTGATCCCTTGAAAATCTGCATGCTGGACGCAGCGGAAGGTCTTTCTAGAAACCTAAGGTGGTGCCTACCGCTCCCTAATAACTAGGAGGCAGTTACCTCTCATGTTCCCTCTGCAGTCACTTACTGAGCAGAGGAAGATCCCTCTAATTTTTCTTTCTGCATCTCACCAGGTGGCTGCATCATTCACTCAAAGCACGATTTTGAGGTCACCAAGAAAAGACTAGCTCAGGATAGACTGGATGGAGATACCAAACCAGCAAGGACTTGCTTTTTGCTTTTATTTACAACCTGAAACAAAACTAGGAGAAAGCTAAGATTTTAGCATTTCTATCTCGGCATGCTTTTACTCACAGCCTAGGACTCCTGGCTCATTCCTTTTTCAGAGATAGAGCACCTTTTTGCATAATTATTTGCGTGTGTGTGTGTTTATGTGTATTATAGTCTTTGAACAGAACAAGAGCATTGATTATCAGAGTGAAGCTAGCATAAGGTGAAAGCAGAACAAATATTAGTAAGCTTCATTAATTTGTTTTTCTTGAAAAAAGGCCCTCTAAATATACCTGGAAGAGGTCTGTCAGGGGGAATCCCTCAGGCAATCACCATTTCAGTACCATGATGACTTTGCTCCCTGTCCTTTTGTTTTTCTTCAAACATTAAATGTAAACTAACAGCCTTGCAGTTCCATATCATATCACCGTGTTCAAATCTTATTCTCCCCCCCATCCTCCAAATTACGGACCCTGAACTACAGTTTGCCTAGTGCAATATTAAGTAACACTGGTTTCATTTTTGTTTCTTTAATTCTTCTTATTTCAGGAATATTTCTGTCCTTAAAAATCTAAGTCTTTTTCTTTCCCAAAATACTTTAAACAAGTTGGTCTTATTATTTTCTCATATTCTCCTGTAGAATATTCTAGAATTCAATTGAGAATGGCTAAATAAAATCTAAGTCTTAAGATACTGGAATAGATTTTCACTTCAGATTATTTTGGGGGTAAGACATTAAACTAAAATGATAATTTCTATTTAGAGCTGGACATCTGGTGCCACCCCTTGTCTTGTATGCAATGTCTGAGATCAGGAGGATGGACAGTGGGCCTAAGGTCACACATGCAAACTGGTAGACTTGGGACCGGAGCCCTGAGCCCCCAGTCCCCAGCCAGAAGTAGGTCTGCAACCCTCAAAGTCACAACATCCTCGCTGCTATAATCAAGTACGGCGCTAGGGCACAAAATGCTGGAGACTAGTGTTTCTATCTCCTATTTTCAGCTGTTCATAGGCATCAGAAGGTCTATACTTCATGAGACGCATACCCATTTAACAAATTGTGAAGTTATTTCACTTCACTTGATTATTGAAACCTTATTTTTGGTGTTGATCAACCAAATGGTTTTGTTTTTTTCCTAGGACAGCAGTAAGAGAGGAAGGTTCTGCCTCGACATGCTTGTGCCACAGAGCTGTGAGAGAAACAGGAGATGTGCTAAGAGAGGAGGCAGGTTACAGGTGAGGGTGGGAGGCCAGCTTCGACTTTTTGTGCCTACCAGCGGTATTTCTGATTGCATTTTCTGTGAGTTTTACATAGGCCTCAGGACTTTCAGGGATCATTACATCTGCAAAAAGAGCACAGTCTAAGTTGACAGCTAAGTTCTGGAAAGTTCGATTCCCTGGTGGCAGGAAAATAACTCTCCTAGGGAAAAAAAAGGAAGTTAGTCATTCCAGACAGGCGGCTCCGGTGCACAGAGAAGGGGAGCACGCTCACCAGAGGTTTCCTGGAATGAATCATAATAAGAGCGTGCATTGACTATGAGTGTTTTAGGAGCCAGCACTGTTCTAAGCATTCACTTATCCTCACAGAAACCCTACAGGGTGCATGGGAGTGCTGTTCCCATTTTATTGATGAGAACACTGAGGTCCAGAGGCATTAAGTTACTGATTCCAGTTTCAACAGTAAACAAGTGACAGAACTGGGATTTCAACCCAGAGTCAGATTCTAGAGCAGCCCTGTGCAACAGGAATAACGTGAGCCATAATGTGACCACATCCATAACTTTAAAGGTTCTGAGAGCCACATTAAGAAGTAACAAAAACCAGATGAAAATCATTTCAATATTTTATTTTACTAAACCAAGATATTCAAATTATAATGTAATCAATATAACAATTATTACAATTTTACATTCTTTCTTTGTGCTAGGTCTTTGAAATTTGTGTATTCGTGTAAGTGCATTTGACCCAGCCAATCTCCATTTGCCCAGTCACATTTCGGGGCTCAACCATCATATGTAGCTGGGGGCTACATATTGCACAGTGCTGCTTTAGATGCAAAATGCCTATAGGCAGACTATAAAAACAAAATAGAAATGAGAGAAATCATTTCCTTTTTAGACAGTGTCATAACCTGGGAATCCAAATGTGAACCATCAGAAAGAAGCAGAAATATCCTCAGAGAATGTGTGAGATGCATTTACAAGTGTGACAGATTGGCCTCTGATTATTTTATTTTTACTCACCTTCCTTACAATACTCCTCTTTCTCTGTCCATCCCCTCACTACATGTGTTTCTTGGGGTTTGTCCTTGTTGTTTCCCTTTATACACTCTTCCTTGTGATCTCCTCCCTTTCCTCAGGGACAATTACCATTTACATGTGAATAACCACCCAATCTGCCTTCCAGTTCCTGAACTTCAGACCCAGGCACCTACTGCTGGGTTTTTCCCTTTGGATACTCACAGTATCTCAAAGGATGTGCACAACTGAACTCATCACCTCCCCTTTCTCACTGCCCTGGCCCACAGACACACACAACATTCTTTCCCTCTTGTGGTCCTCAGGACCTAGGACCACCTACATCTTTCACCAAGATGCCCAAGCCAGAAAATTGCCTCAATTCCAATTCAATCGATCATCAGTTACAGAGGAGACTTCTTACGATTTCTCACATCTCTTCCATTCTCCCAATCCCAATGCTGCAGCCTTGGTTCAGGCCACCATCCTATCTCTGTCCTGGATTATAAAACATTTCCTCTTGGACTCTCTTCCAACGTGCTACCTCCATATAGTATCGAGACAATTCTTTGAAAATATGTATCTGATCACATGGCTCCCTCCAGAGAGCCCTGCTACGGCTCTCCATTGCCTTCAGGATAAAAGCCAAACTCCCTTCCATGATGAACGGGCTGCTTTACAACCAGGTCCTGGTCTGCCATCCCCCTCCTCTTTGTCCACTCCATGCCTCCTAATCTACAGCCTTGTCACTCTGGACGAACTTCAGGTGACCAAAAGCACTGTGGCTAACCACAAAGCTGGCACGGGCACCCCATCCTTTCTTCCTCTGAACATTGCAGTGTCCACCTGACTGACTTCCTTCAGATCTCAGCTTAAGGGTCTCTTCTCTAAAGCCTTTCCTCAAAGCTCCAAGTTAGTCGCCATTTGGTGGTACTTCTATACCGCCATGTGTACATTGGTATCCCGGCATCAAACATTTCACATAGCTGTTTCTTATTTATTTGTCTACGTGCCACACAAGACTGTCTGCTCTTCGAGGGGAAAAGGAACCGTGTATCCCCAGTACTTACAAAGAGTTGTCACATAGTAAGAACGCAAGTGTATTGGAATAAATCAATGGCCATGACAATTTTTGTATTTGATAATCATTAAAATCCAATTATTCCATCATATACCATTTCCCCTAATGGGAGAATGAAGAAGATGATTCAGCTTAGCTTACATATTTCCAGTACCATATCCATTCCTTTTTATTTTCTTTCAAGCCGGCATATGGGAAGAGCTCTTCCCTACCTGATAAGCCAACAGCTCCCCCGAGGTAGAAATCTTTATCTTCCTGACCCTCTTCATCCTCAGAGGGCAGAGTTCGGGACACGGCCGACTCCAGGTCACGACTGAGGTCATAGTCATGGTCCCACTCCAGCGGGATGGAGTCCACACTGGCTGGGGTGTCTCGTCCGGACCGCTCACTCCGGAGGGGCTGAGCGAGTGAGAGGGAGGGGTTCGAGGAGGGCGGGGGGGAGAGCACCCTGTCCGCAGAGGTGTCATGCCAGTGGATGTCCGAGAGAGCTGCCGAGTCATCCAGCTCCAGCTCCCGGTCAGAGAGGTCGTGCTCGTCATCTGGGAGCTGGAAATGCAGTCAAGCCCACTCGGTTACCACAGCGGGCAGACGATGCCCCCACTGCTTCTTGCTCTGCCTCTTACCAAATCTCAGTGTTCAGGCTTATCTGGGCCACATTTCAACCTCAGTGGGAAAAAGTTTAAACTTCCTATCATCAAATAAATAAGAATCTTCTGATCACTTTTAAAATTGTCTTATAAATTAATCTACCAAAGTCTCAGTTTTTCCACTGGTAAAATGGAAATAATATTAAAACCTACTTCACAAAACTGATGTATGATTAACTAAGACAATGTAAATGAAGACAACCTAGTACCTTGCCTGTAACACACTAGGTACACAATGGGACATATCAGGAGCAAATGGAAATTACTAATAAAGGCATAGCTGGTCCTTTTTTACCTTATATCCCAGATGCAAAATATATTTTATCACAGAAGAGTCTAAATATTCTAATAACGTCTCGACAATGGGATGCGATTATGGTAGCAATTAGGGAAATAGAAGAGAAAAAATTAAACTAAATAACCTCATCAACTGAGCAACTGTCTACATGGCTCACTTTCCTCTCCTTATTTCTTCCAGAAGCTTCTTTATCTTCCATAGAAGATATGTGCTAAGTACTCTTCTAAGGTCTTTATATCTATATATGAACTCACTTCATGCCCCAAGCAATCCTTTCTACAAGGTAGGTACTGTTATTAAACCCGTTTTACAGGTGAGGAACCTGAGGCAAGAGACGAGAAGTAACTTGTCCAAGGTTATGTAGCCATCACGTGTCAGAGCTGGGACTGAAACCCGGGGGTGCTGGCTCCAGAGTCTGAGCTCTCATCCACTGTACAATGCTACCTAACCTCACATAATTAATTCTCTTTAGATTTAATGACAATGAAACAAAAAGATACATACGGGCAGGCGAATCAGTTTCTTATGGTATCTTTCCACGCGGCCGAAGACCTCCTGACAGTAACGTCGGAGTTCATCCAGCTCTTCCTCAATGACGGCCGCATCCAAGGGTTCACTCTTTTCTATCAGCTGTTCTCCCTGGGCAATGATCTGCTCTATCTTACTGTGGTTCAAAGAAATTTCCTGCTGGAAGGCCTAGGGAGCACAAATCTCGTGTAATTTTTTATTGCTCACATTGACATGAGATAATTATAAGATACATATTTAGAAAAACCATGTAGGGGATATTGAATTTACCATAAACAATGACAAGCCAAGAGGCCATTACTTTCTAAAGTAAAAAGTAAAAATTTTAAATCACAACAGGAGTCAGAAATGGAAACGTTAGAATTCCACGGCCAGAAAGGCGCCTTTGGCTAATAAAATTTACCACCATAGACAGTGTGGGTAGAGAATCACAGGAAAAAACATTGAAACCCATCATAAAGTTGATAGCACTGGTCATCCCCGACGAAATGCAATGGTAAGCAATACAGTGTGCCTGAAACAAATTTAGCTTTTTAAAGAATTATACTGAAGATTTTAATTTTAAATTTCCTGATTATATGTCAAACGTGACTAAGAGAAACCATCCAAAAAACAATTAATGTCACAAATTCTTCTCAGATGATGCTTTTATTGTTTCAGGACACAAGCAGGAAAGATGATAACTATTTGAAAAACAAGGAATTCTGGAGGATTATTTAGGCTCATTCTATATGGTTCAAAGAGTGAAGCTCCTGGGGACAAGTTTCAGGGGATAAATTTTAACTCAATACAAGAATAAACTTGGGGATAGGAGAAATTGTCCAATAATGAAAAGAATGCCAGGAGAGAAGGGAGGCTGGTAACGAGCTCTATAACCCTGCCAGAGGCCAAAAAGAAAAGATTTGACTCCCACTTGGGAGAGATTTCTTGTCAAAGTTTTGAAATATTGATTTGCCTGTGAAACAACTGGGGAGAGTCAGTGTGGGGGGGGGGGGGGCAACAGGGGAAGGGGTTGGGCAGAACATCAGGGCTATTTTATGATTTTTTCATTCTGAGAATCTACAATTAAGGGTAACTTCCTTGTTTTATAAAAACCTAGGGTTATGGGCATGATGACTATTCTTTAAAAAAATCTATCTCGGCCAGCCCTGGTGGCCTAGTGGTTAAGTTTGGCACACTCCACTTTGGCAGCCCAGGTTTGGTTCCCAGGCAGGGACCTACGCTTGTCAGTGGCCACGCTGTGGTGGTGGCTCACACACAAAAAGAGGAACGTTGGCAGCAGATGTTAGCTCAGGGTGAATCTTCCTCAGGGGAAAAAAAAATCTAACTATCTTGGGAAGAAAATTTCACAAGCTTCCTTGCTTATTATTCAAGTTGTTAAATGCTCTTCCTTTTAGGGAATCCTTATATCTAATATACATGCCTCCTATTGAAGTTTTTAACTAGCCACTGTGTTGGAAATTATATAGCAAAACACATCAAATATGCTTTCAAATTAACTTAGCATCTAAGAGGGCTGAATATGTGGAATGAAATCCTAACACGAGAGAGTTGTATTGCTCTGGAGCACAGAGGTCAAATAATTTGAAGGTACTAGAAATAAATCAAAAAAATAAAAAACAACCAAAAAGGAAGACCCCTAACACTGTGGCAATCAAGTTAATAATTAAAACTATGGTTGTTATCTCTCGGTAATGTTCTTTATTTCATTTTTAACATCACTTGCATTTTCCGAATTGTTTTTTCAATCAAGAAGAACTAGTTTTTTGAAAAGAAGAGTTCTCTACGATATTCTTCACAAAAGGATCTACAAAGGCCTTCCTCTTCAGACTTGCCTCACACTGATCGTTTGGAATATCAATAATCTATTACCTTGAGTTGCTTTATTTTAGCTTGAACGTCACACTCAGAAAAATGCTCGATATTAGTGAGCTGCAGATCCATCTCCGTCAGCCACACCAGAATGCTGTCGCGTGCCGTCTCGAACTCCTCACGCTGGCCAATGAAATGCTGGAGGTGGAGAGAAAATAATAACAATTAACAAGGCCACATACACGTACTGAGATGGCACTGCCAATTCCAATGTTCTTCTGAAAAGTCATTTTCTTAACAAGCAACGAGAACCCTGCAATCCTTTATCATATAAATTAAGGCGATGTATGCTCCTATAATTTTACACAACTTCTCTTCCATAATGTGTTACATAAGGAGGTTGTTGGAATCTATCAAATTTTATTAGATTGGAGGTCATTTAATAGCAAAAAATCGAAGGAAACTTTCTTCCACATTAGAATTTCAGACAACCGAATGTCATCCTTTGCTGATCCTTGAGCCAGTGGCTTAACTGAATGTTTCAAGAGGCCCCACAACGTTTGTGCATGGAACATTCAGATCACTCAAAAACTAACCCCTGACACTCATCTTGCCATCCCAGTCTTACAAAATCACTGAGATTATGTCTTAACGTTGTGTTTCAATAGCCCCCTCCTGTCCTCTGGGCTCTAAGCTACGGAAGAGGCATAATGAAGACCTTGAGTCTGCGCAAGATGGAGGTGACACGCTTTTGCAGGTTGTCCCATCTCTGGTTGCCTTCGTGAACCATCTGTTTCAGGCTGCACGCAGAGTCAGTGCGGTTCTCTCTGGCCAGGCGGCGGTACTGCTTGTTGATCAGCTCCAGCTGAGTCAGGCTCTCGTGGACCTGGCGCTGGAAAGCCTAAGACCACAGAGAAGCATATGGGTGAGGGAAATGGGGGACAGGCTCTCAGCAAGGTCATACTGCAGAATCGGGGAGAATGGGAAGTCACATGGTCACGGATAGGGAAAAGGCCATTTCTAGCAAGAGTATACTTCCCTTTGTTAAAGCAAAGTGCTGTAATCAGGGTGGCTTAAGGAAAGAGAGTGGATCAAACACAAATATGAAAGAAAATGGTACACAGTAGTAAATATATGTATATATGTTCAAGCATGTACATGTACATATCCACATATAACACACACATATATAGAATATAGCTTTTAAAATAATTAACAGCCTGAAAAAAATTTTCCCATAAAACAGACTACAAACATATTTAAGTGTGCTGAAATGTGATTGAAATGTTCAATACTTCTGATTTCAATACTGAGAAAAAGATCCACAATAGACCTGGTTTTTTATTTGTAAGATACGTTATTTCCTCAAAATCCAGAAAGTGCCTCAATTCTGGTGTCCATTAAGGAAAAAAATGAAACTGCCTTTTACAGATGGCCCTCTAAATGCAAGCTATTAATTTTTAAAAATTTTTTTGGTGAGGAAGATTGGCCCTGAGCTAACATCTGTTGCCAATCTTCCTCTTTTTTCTCCCCCCTCCCCAAACCCAGTACATAGCTGTGCATCCTAGTCATAAGCCCTTCCAGATCTTCTATGTGGGATGCCACCACATCATGGTTTGATGAGTGGTGTGTTGGTCCGCACCCAGGATCCAAACCAGCGAACCCCGGGCCACCAAAGCAGAGCGTGCAAACTTAACCACTCGGCCATGGGGCTAGCCCCACTATTATTTATTTTTAAGAAAAGCAGTTCAGTCAAACACAAGCAACCTTACATGGAAAAAAGTTTGGAACATGCTCTATTTCTTTTTTGTGGCTCCCGTGAATTATTCTCTTTTTCTAAAACGTGTTAGAGCTGATGAACCACTTTACAGGGTACTGTCTATTTACTTTGGAGGTGAGTCTATGCACGGTTTAGAGTTTCTGAAGGTAAAATACTCTCTTCTTTCTCTCTGCAATCTAGCATTGCCCTAGCATAAGAATTATCTGGCCAAAATAAAATGAAGCATTTTTTTTTCAAACTCATGTAAACGATTTATGACTGATTTCTATCCTGGCATTAGATAGAAAACTCTAATTAATTGGACTGTATATAGTCATTTAAATCCCAAAGTTCTGTTTCCTTTGGCTCATCACACTGTTTACATGCTATCACATTTATGCCTCTGAAATGGTTTTCCTTCTGAGCGTTCCTCTAAGAGCCCTCATCCTAATAAATCCAATTTTCTATTCTATCAAACTTTAAGTCATTTCCTCAGAAAAGGAAGTGGAAGGGCATGTTCAGCTTTTGCCATTACTGGAAGTCGGAGTAAAAGTTTGCCTGCTGGCGTGATGGTGGGCACCACATGTTGGCACCCCAGCAAACCCAGATCCATCCCAAATATTCCTGCAATTGGCCAGACTAAATTTTGTTGGTCTCCAAACAAAATTTTGTTTTAGTGATTACTTTCTGTCTCTTAAGAAAATTAATTATAAGATAAATTATAAAATCATTCATTGTAGAAGCCAAATATATGGCTAACCTTTGCCATAAAATCTGAGAGTCCAAAATAGCATCAAAAAGACCTCATATAATCTGCTTTGTAGTATAAGCCAATTATAGAAGGTTTTAACCTCTAGGAGGCTGAGTGTAGTAAGATGCAGTACGTGAACACTTCCACTAGCACTGGCTCACACCGGATGACCTGGAATGTACTGCAGAGCTTATTCTGGATTTTTACTAGAAGTTTTCTAAGGGAAATCCTTCTATATAGTAAAATTTTTTTCCTGTAATTTAGTGGTACAGTTATATATAAATCCGCAAATTGTAAGGTAAAAACGAACTCAGCTGGATTTGGTTGGAGTTTTATTTTTATTTTTAAACATCTTGGGAAGCTTGGGGCCGAAATTAGCAACCAAGAATGATGTTTGTAAGCTACGTGCGTCAGAACTGTTTGTTGTCAATATATATGAGTATATTTCTGCCGATCAGTGGGAATTGATGGGAAAAGAAAATTCACATTAAAAAATGGGCCACTTTAGGTCATGCCAGCTCCTCTGTGAAAATGAGAGACAGCTGAGAAGTCAAGGTTTCACAGTATCACAGTGACGGAGCAGAGTCAAGATTGCACAACCAGCAAGGAACAGGGATCAGTTATTGAACGATTCCTTCCTTTATGAACATGATTTCACTGCTGCTATTTTTGTCTCTATGTAATTGAAGAGTCTTGGTGACTCATAAGAATGGCATGGCTCTTCATTCGTAATTAGAAATGGCTTATGACTAAAATGTTTTATTCAATTCTGGAGCTGATTCTATTTTATCGATGATTAAAAAATATATATCAATGCTCCAATTAGGTAAAAAAATCAAGAAAACATATTTGGAAGATGGATTTGTATAGTATGGGAAACCATCATATTTTAGTCTTAGATGGTTGATTGTGAATAATTATGAAATAAGAAGAATGCCAAGATCTTTTGGGGGGAAATCATGATTCTTGTTTTCTAATAGAACTTCTCTTCATTACTACTGTGTTTGTAATTCTTGATCATCTTAAATTAAAATAAAAACCTTCTTTCCCCCCTTCTTTGTCTACTTATGATAATAATAAAGATGACCACAAAGTCATCACTCAGCGATTGGAACAAATAATGTGAGGGTGAACACTTAGGTTATGTCTCGGGAAAGCAACCACCAGATGGCTGTTCTCATAGCAAAATAAGGATTAAATATTTGGAATTGTAAATCACCTCAAATTTCTTTAGTTCTTCCTTGGCAACTGTATAGAGCACCCCAGAAGAGCTGGGGAAGGCAGCTGTCCTTTCTGAAGTCTTCAGCCAATCTTCAAAACGAGAATAGTCATCCAGAAACTTCTGCCACAGTCGCCACGTCTCTTCAATTCTGACAGAGGAAACGAAAGAACAGAATCGGACTGTTGAGACTGTTTATGCTCCAGAAACCCTGCCTGTTGCCTGCAACGAGATTAAGAGTGCCCAAACAAACAAATGTTGTGCCAAACAATAACTGTGCCTTGCGCCAAATTTGACCAGAGTGAAAAAGAGACAACTGTTTGAGCTAAAATGAAACAGCTGTGCGCGCGTGTATGTGTGTGTGTGTGTGTAACACATCCTGCAGCTCTGGATTTGGACTTAGTCAAATCGAGTGTCACAAGCACACAATGTTAACTGTTCTGGATCTGCGAAAGGAAGTTTAGAAGTGCAACACGATGTTCACGGTGCACACTCACACCAAGGTTCCACTAAAATAAATTATCTAATGTTTAAAAATCCATCAATTCCTACATCAAACTCACCATCATCAAAATCAACCTATGATAGCAAGACAAATGTTATCCTTTCAAGCGTTCCCCAGAGAGGCAAAGATTCTGTGCCTTAAATCATGATGATAATTTTCTAACACATCACTAATTTTTAGTGCCTTGAATCTCAAACGGTTTAAAGATAAGCACTTTGTTTTATTATTTCATTTTTAATAAAAAAATGTTGCTTTTTCACACCATCAATTCTGTAACCTTATACTCACTCAGCAAGGGCATATGTTTATTTTTCTGAATTATATTTAAACCGTTAAGTCAGGCGTAACTTGGGGTTGTTCTATTTATATACTACCTTTATACCTACTTATTTTCCCAACTAAATGTAGGCGACGGCAAGTTTGTGAAACCAAGGCTGTTTTTGGACATTGCAACCAAAAGGAAATAGTGAACCATGGGTACTCTGGGTCATCTTTTTCTTCCTTTCAGTCCTCCCTCTTTCCCAACTGTTTGAACATCCCACTTACTTGAGCCTTCTTTCCATGGACATAGCACAGATATTTCTCCATCGCCGGTCCAGGTTTCGTGTAGCCTGCTGGATGGAATCACACTCGGCATCTGTGGCACAGGCATCACAGTCATGCAGCAGGACCTCACACAGGTTGAGGACAGAGGCCACGCCCGTGCTGTGTTTCTCTATGTCTCTCTGAAGCTCCTGTAGGGAATGAGACATACCTGGTTCAAATACTTGCATACAGGGGGGAGAAACTGTAGCAGTATTCACTGACTGATAAATGGGCAGGCAGAACCTTGACAAATATTTCATTTCCTTGATTGGGTGAGGTTTGTTCAACTTCATTTATGAAAGTACGGCAAGCTCAAAAGTATGAGAAAATGAAACTAGAGCTATTTCAGCCATGTGAGCAATATCAAAATATAAACTGAACAAATGAAACAGACTATATTAACTATATTAAGAGTAAAATTGGCTTCTTTAGTGATCGAAAAATGAATCTTGCCCCAGACTCCATTTCACAGATATATCACTTCCATTCCAATCCATCGATCAATCAATCAAAGGAATACAGGTGCTCCTGTTAAGAGCTCGGATTTGCTCTCTAAAGAGCCACAAACTGTTTTAAACAGTTAATTCCACCATCATTAAAAGGCACCATGGTTTAAGGGACTTGGGTTCTCTATCATGTATGACATCATTACCATCAGCAGCTTCCTCAGTGAGCAATTTTAAATGTAGGACAGAAATAGAAAGCTTATGATGATAAACAAGGCATTGAATTTCCCCAGCGGTCTACCATGTGAAATTTTCATACTGCATAGAAGGTAAATGGAAAATGTACATTCTTTTTTCTGTTGAGCTTTTAACTCAATTTATGCAAAGTATTCCTTAATTAAAAGTGAGGCCTCCCATAACCATCTTTTGCTTACCCTATTCATCAAGCTCCTTAAAGTATTTTCCTTTTCTTTGGTGCAGTTCTTGAACTTGCCTAGCTGTTATCTTGTTCTGGTGATAATTCCCCAACTTACTCAGATAGCTGGCATTTACATCCTTGTGTGTATATTCTCTTTAACACCATGTTCCAATGTCTTCTCTACAAGCACTAGCCTATGGTTGACTCCAATAACAGTGCTTTTGATTAATTTTTGGAGATTTTATAAACTAGACACTAGAAGATAAATTCTTTCAAAATATTTCTATTTCACTAAACACTTCTCAAATCTCTTGCATACCCTTCTTCATTTCTATGGAAGCTATCACAGGAATTGCTGGTCTAAAAATACAAAATAAAATATCACAAAAATTGAACTCAACATTTGCTCAGAATAAAGACAGAGACTTGAGTGAATGAGATCACATGTTTGTAGGTCTTAAAGTGCATCTTGTACAAGTATATACATTAGGAAGCAGTGATAGGGACTTACCACAATCCATGTATTTAAAGAAGTTTTAGCATTTTGATTTACTCTTCCCTAAGTACTCAAAAGTTTCTTTTTCCAGCTTTATGGAGACATAATTGACATATAACATTGTGTAAGTTTAAGGTGTACAATATGATGATTTGATATATGTATCTAGTGAAATGATTACCACAGTAAGTTTAGTTAACAGCCATCACCTCACATACTTAGAATTTGTGTGTTTGTGTTGAGAACTTTAAAGATTTACTCTCTCAGCAACTTTCAAATATACAACACGATATTGTTAACTATAGTCACCATACTATACACTGTATCACCAGAACTTAGACAAACTCGAAGTTTGTACCCATTGACCACTTTCATCTATTTCCCCCATAACTAACCCCCACCTCTGGAAACCACCAATCTACTCTGTGTTTCCATGAGTTCAATTTTTTAGATTCCACACATAAGTAAGATCATACAATATTCGTCTTTCTCCGAGTTATTTCACTTAGCAAAATGAACTCAAGGTTCATCCATGTTGTTGGAAATGGCAGTATTCTGTCTTTTTCATGGCTGAATAATATTCCATTGTATATACACCCCAACTTCTTTAACCATTCTTCCATCAGTGGACACTTAGGTAGTTTCCATGTACATATTCACTGTTGTAAATAATGCTGTAATGAACGTGTGGATGGAAGTATCTCTCCAAGATGGCAATTTCGTTTCCTCTGGATACATACCCAGAAGTGGAATTGCTTGATCATATGAGAGTTCTATTTTTAATTTTTGAGGAACCTCCATAATGCCTTCCATATTGGCTGTACCAATATACAGTCCCGCCACCAGTGCACAAGGGATCCCTTTTCTCCACATCCTCACCAGCACTTGTTATTGCCTGTCTTTTTGATCAACAGCCATTCTAAGAGGTGTGAGTTGATATCTCACTGTGGTTTTGCTTTGCCATTCCCTTATGATTAGTGATGCTGAACATCTTTTCATATACCTGTTGCCCATTTGAATGTCTCTTTTGAAAAAATGTCTATTCAAGTTCTTCAATCACTTTTTAAATTGGATTATTTGCTTTTTTTGCTATTGAGTTGTATGAGTTTCTTATATATTTTGGATATTAATACTTTATCAGATAACATAATTTGCAAATATTTTCGCCCATTCCACAGGTAGACTTTTCATTTGATTGGTCATTATTTTTGCTGTGCAGAAGCTTTCTAGTTTGATTTAGTCCCATTTGTTTACTTGTTGTTGTTGTTAGTTGTGCTTTTGGTGTCATATTTAAAAATCATTTCAAGACCAATGTTCAGGAGCTTTTTTCCTATGTCTTCTTCTAGGAGTTTTATGGTTTCAGGTCTTAAATTTAAGTCTTTAATTCGAGTTAACTTTTGTGAGTGGTGTAAAATAGAGGTTATTTCCTTCTTTTGCAAGTGATTATCCAGTTTTCCCAACATCATTTTTTGAAAAGGCTATCTTTTCCCCATTGAATATTCCTGGCTCCCTGTCAAATATTAGTTGACCATATACGTGGGGGCTTATTTCTGGGCTCTGGCTTCTGTTCCATTGATCTATATGTCTGTTTTTATGCCAGTACCACATTGTTTTGATTACTATAAATTTGTAACATAATTTAAAGCCAGGAAGTGTGATGCCTCCAGCTTTGTTCTTCTTTCTCAGAATTGCCTGGGTTATTCAGGGTCTTTTGTGGTTCCATACAAATTTAGGTTTATTTATTTATTTATTTTTTGGTGAGGAAGATTTGCCCTGAGCTAACACCCATGCCAATCTTCCTCTATTTTTTGTATGTGAGATGCCTCCATAGCACGGCTGATGAGTGGAGTAGGTACGCACCTGGGATCCAAACACGCGAACCTGGGCCGCTGAAGTGGAGCACATGGAACTTTAACCACTTGGCCATGGGGCCAGCCCAGTTTATTATTTTTATTTCTTTAAAAAAATGCCATTGGAATCTTGATAGGGATTGCACTGAATCTATAGATGGCTTCGGGTAGTATGGACATTTTAACAATATTAATTCTTCTAATCCATGAGCATGGGTTATCTTCCCATTTATTTCCATCCTCTTCAAAGTCTTTCATCAGTACCTTATGAAAACTCTAAGTTTTCACTGTACAGATTTTTCACATCCTTGGTGAAATTTATATTCCAAGTATTTTATTGTTTTTGATGCTATTGTAAATGGAATTGTTTTCTCTACTTCTTTTTCAGATAATTCATTGTTAGCATACAGAAATGCCCCTGATTTTTGTACATTGAATTTTGTACATTGAATTTGTGTCCTACAACCTTCTTGAATTTATTAGTTCTAACAGTTTTTTGTTGGAGTCTTTAGGATTTTCTATATATACGATCAAGTTATCTGCAAACAATTTTACTTCCTCCTTTCTGATTTGGATGCCTTTTATTTCTTCTTTTGTGTGATTACTCCGCCTAGGAATCCAGTACTATGTTGAATAGGATTGGTGAGAGTGGCCATCCTTATCTTGTTTCTGATCTTAGAGGAAAAGCTTTCAACCTTTCACCACTGAGAATAATGTTAGCTGTGGGCTTGTCATATATGACCTTAATCATGCTGAGGTATGTTCCTTCTATACCCAATCTGTTCAGAGTTTTTATCATTTGAATTTTTTCACATGCTTTTTCTGCATCTATTGAGATGATCACATGATTTTTACCTTTCGTTCTATTAATTTGAAATATCATATTTATTCTGTACGTTGAACCATTCTTACATCCAGAGATGAATCCAACTTGATCACAGTGTATGATCCTTTTAATGTGCTGTTGAATTTGGTTTGCTAGTACTTTGTTGAGAATTTTTGCATCTATATTCATCAGGGATATTGGTGTTTAGTTTTCTTTTCTCATAGTGTCCTCGTCTGGCTTTGGTATCAGGGTAATGCTAGCCTTGTAAAATGACTTTGAGAGTGTTCCCTCACCTTCAACTTTTTGGAAAAGTCAGAAGGATTGGCTTTAAATGTTCGGTAGAATTCTCCTGTGAAACCATCTGGTTTTGAACTTCTCTTTGTTGAGATGTTTTTGATTATTGATTCAGCCTCCTTATTCATGATTGAACTGTTCAGATTTTCTGTTTCTTCATGATTCAGTGTTGGTAGGTTGTATGTTTCTAGAATTTATCCATTTCTTCTGGGTTGTCCAATTTGTTGGCATATTATTATTCATAGTAGTCTCTTATGATCCTTTGTATTTCTGTGGTATCAGTTGTAACATCTCCACTTTCATTTATGATTTTTATTTATTTGGGTCCTCTCTTTTCTTATTGGTTAGTCTAGCTAAAGGTTTGTCAATTTTGTTTATCATTTCAAAGAACTAACTCTTAGTTTTGTTAATCTTTTCTATTGTTTTCCTATTCTCTATTTCATTTATTTCTGCTCTAATCTTATTTCCTTTCCTCTACCAACTTTGGGTTTAGTTTGTTCTTTTCTAGTTCTTTGAGGTATAAAGTTAGGTTGTCTATTTGAGATCTTTCCATTTTCTTAATGTAGTTGTTTATGGCTATAAAATTCCCTCTTAGAACTTATTTTGCTGCATCCCATAGGTTTTGATAAGTTTTATTTCCTTTTTTTTGTCTCAAGATTTTTTTTACTTCCCTTTTGATTTCTTCTTTGATCCATTGGTTCTTCAGAAGTGTGTCATTTAGTTTCCATATATTTGTGAAGTTTCCAGCTTTCTTCCTGTTATTGATTTCTTGTTTCATATCATTGTGGCTGGAAAAGATACTTGATATAATTCCTATTT